AAATACTTTTCCAATAATATATACTATAATTTGTTTTACGTTGAAGCATTTACCTTGTTTCTACTGTATTTTTTTCAGTGTGTTGTGTCCCTTCAGAATGTTGGCGATCATGACACTCCACAATTTCCTGTCCGTTCTAGTGCTTAGTAAATTTTGTCTTTTTGTCATCTCTCCTAAAGCCTTCTTCTGTCATCAATTGCGCCGTTTTCCTCTGTTCCTCTTGCCTTCATTATGTCCCGTGAGTGTCAAATTTTCCAATCCCACTTTCCTCATTATATGCCCCAGAAATTTCAACTATCTCTTTCTAATGTTAAGTGTCCTTTTTGTTTCCATTTTCTCTAAGACTTCGTCGTTGCTCGCATGTAGCGTCTATAGTATTCTAAGCATCCTTCAGTAGAACTACATTTCTTATGCTTCAAGTCTCTTTTTCCAATAAGTGAGAAGATTTTCCAGCATTTGCTGCCATATAGGAGGATTTATATTGCATGGCGTTTAAACACTATTTTCTTTATCCTAACCAATTTTTTCCTGTTCCCTTAATACTTCGCTTAGATTTTGGAAGGCATCGTTCGCTATACAAAAGCGCCTGCGGATTTCGGTGTCACACATTCCGTCCTCTGTTAAAAGAATTCCCAGATATTTAAACTCTTGTACTAGTTTGATTTTGGTAACAGCAATATGTAATTTGCAAGTTAGTCTGTTACTTTTGCTGACAACCTTGGCTTCTGAGTTCTTGTACTTGATGTTCAGGTCTTTCTTCTCGCTTGCCTTCACTACATTTTGTAAGAAGTTCTTGTTTCTAGATCTGATTTCAATTCGTAAATATTTTGTTAGAAATTTGATAGAATTTCTAAACGCAGCGAACGTAACAAAAAGAAGAAAATAAGACCGAAGAAAAATATTTAATTAATTTTTTTTTACAAAAAGTCAAGACTGGCCAAGCGAAATTCGAAAAAGAAAGTCGATTTATAATAAAAATGAGTGATCTTGTTCGATAGTGAATTGAGTTAATAAGGACAGAAATTTTCAAGAGAAGAGACGTTATTCAGAGAAAGGAAAAAAAAGCTAAATAGTGATAGAAACAGACATGTTAAAATAAGAGAAAAAAAGAATGAAAATAATACGATGTATCAATAAGACTGAATCTTGAATTTTGATCTGAAATATTCCTTATGTAATATTAGATTAATATGTTTTATATTAAGTGCATTGACAGTAAAAGAGTATATAGAGAAAAATAAAATCTATCTTTTCCCTAAGGATTTATTGACAAACAAAATAAATTAAAACAAAGTAAATGAAAAGAAAATAATTTAGATAAAAGGGACATTGCGATAGATAGATAGATAGATAGATAGATAGAGATTGAGATAGCACAATAAAACAGATTGACAGACAGACAGAAATAGATATATTAACAGAATAAAACAGATAGACTGATAGATAGAAAGAGATTGAGATATTAACAAAATAAAAGAGATAGATAGATAGATAGATAGATATTGAGATACTAACAGAATAAAAATAGACATATATAATGTATATATATAGAAATAGATAGATAGATAGATAAACAATAAAACGATAGAGATTGAGATATTAACAGAAAACAAACTGACAGACAAGCAGACAGCCAGATAGATAGATAGATAGATAGATAGATATTGAAAAATTAACATAATAAAATACATAGATAGATAGATAGATAGATAGATAGATAGATATTGAAAAATTAACATAATAAAATAGATAGATAGATAGATAGATAGATAGATAGATAGATATTGAAAAATTAACATAATAAAATAGATAGATAGATAGATAGATAGATAGATAGATATTGAAAAATTAACATAATAAAATAGATAGATAGATAGATAGATAGATAGATATTGAAAAATTAACATAATAAAATAGATAGATAGATAGATAGATAGATAGATAGATAGATATTGAAAATTAACATAATAAAATACATAGATATAGATAGAAATAGATTATTGAAAAATTAACATAATAAAATACATAGATAGATAGATAGATAGATAGATAGATAGATAGATAGATAGATAGATATTGAAAAATTAACATAATAAAATACATAGATAGATAGATAGATAGATATTGAAAAATTAACATAATAAAATACATAGATAGATAGATAGATAGATATTGAAAAATTAACATAATAAAATACATAGATAGATAGATAGATAGATATTGAAAAAATTAACATAATAAAATACATAGATAGATAGATAGATAGATAGATAGAAAATAGAACATAATAAAATACAACATAGATAAATAGATAGATAGATAGATAGATAGATATTGAAAAATTAACATAATAAAATACATAGATAGATAGATAGATAGATATTGAAAAATTAACATAATAAAATACATAGATAGATAGATAGATAGATATTGAAAAATTAACATAATAAAATACATATAGATATAGATAGATAGATAGATAGATATTGAAAATTAACATAATAAAATACATAGATAGATAGATAGATAGATAGATAGATAGATAGATATTGAAAAAATTAACATAATAAAATACATAGATAGATAGATAGATAGATAGATAGATAGATAGATAGATATTGAAAAATTAACATAATAAAATACATAGATAGATAGATAGATAGATAGATAGATAGAAAAATTAATATAATAAAATAGACTGATAGATAGATAGATAGATAGATAGATAGATAGATAGATAGATAGATAGATAGATATGAACAGACTGACGATAGATAGATAGATAGATAGATAGATAGATAGATAGATAGATATGAACAGACTGACGATAGATAGATAGATAGATAGATAGATAGATAGATAGATAGATAGATAGATATTGAAAAATTAACATAATAAAATACATAGATAGATAGATAGATAGATAGATAGATAGATAGATAGATAGATAGATAGATAGATAGATAGAATGTGTCGACTCGGACATGTCAACACTGGCAGATTTCAAATGACTTATACTGGTGCTGTGCGACTAGTTTAGAAAACTTACTTTTATAGTCAGGCAAATTGAAGAAGAACAAAAAAGACATAAAGAAAGAAGAAATAAAGTAAAAAAGAAAAATGACAAAAAAGAAAGATTCATGTGGTAAATTGTTATGCAAAAATAAATAAATAAAATGAATAAATAAAATAAAATAAAATAAAATAAACAAGCAAAACAACCTGAAATCACCTTTGGAAAAACACTTGCCCGTGGAGTTTACACTTTGCCTTCAGCCTGAAAAGAGGCAGAGATACGACTAACGTAATATTTTCAAACCGCGACAATCAAACATTTATGTCAACAGCTTTTCTAAGCCTCGCTTCACCCAATTACATCCCAATTATGAAACTTTCGTATACGTAATTAACGTACGATTAGATTCTGTAAATTCTCCTCAATTTGGGTCTCAAAAAAACAAAAAAAAAAAAGAAACTCGGACACTCAAGAATATAATTAGTTACTTTATAGCTTTTGATGAATCAAACAATGTCGAGTGTTCAGAAGTGGGGCACATCCAACAGAGAGATAAGGTCAAAGACAAAAATCACTTTGTAAAAATTGATATATTATAACTTAACCCGTTGGAATAAGAAGAAAATTAGGATTTATAGAAAAACGTCTTTCGTAGAGATTATAAAAATAGAAAAAACTATTTTGGGAACAGAGTTAAACGAAACGTTAATTACAAACCACTCTCTGTCCCCCCTTCATCCATTCATCTATCTATCTATCTCTTTCCCTTTCTCTCTCTCTATCTATCTATCTATCTCTTTCCCTTTCTCTCTATATCTATCTATCTATCTATCTATCTATCTATCTATCTATCTATCTCTTTCCCTTTCTCTATCTATCTATCTATCTATCTATCGATCTATCTCTTTCCCTTTCTCTATCTATCTATCTATCTATCTATCTATCTATCTATCTCTTTCCCTTTCTCTATCTATCTATCTATCTATCTATATTGTTCAGTTCATATGTCCGAATACTGGTTTCTTTCTATAAATGGGGACGGTGGTCAGAACACTGCCGGAGAGCACGTTTTATTTATAATTTTTTTCAAAAGTACGTATGCTGATACGCGTAATACAGACTTAAAAACGGGCGTCTATTTCAAACACGAGTATCCACTAAAATTAAGTTTCATGGTATAATTTTGTATGCATGTATATATATATATATATATATATATATATATATATATATATATATATATATGTACACACACATACACACACACATATATATATATATATATATAAGCCAATGTATGGATATAGATCCGACAGTATGAAGAAAATATACGGACAAAACAAACAAAAATCCTAATATGCAATTATTCTGTTTTAAAGTTAATATAATATCTGACGTTGACATTATATTAACATTAAAACAGCATAATTGCATATTAGGCTTTTTTTCCGTATATTTTTCTTCATATATATATATATATATATATATATATATAAAACACATCCGCATAGACGAATGCGCACAAATGCACACGAACAAAAGTTGCACACATGATAATTGCATAAAAAGAAAAAATTGAGAAATATAAGTAGTCAATTGCTAATATATCCTAAAGAGTGGACGGACAGTTTCGTCTACGAAACTCAGGAGTCGGGATGCTGAAAGTAACATCAATCAGCTAAGTGACAAATTTTTACTTATATCACTTCTCCCTCGCTCTCTATCTCTCATTCACTTTCTCCCGATATATATATATATATATATATATATATATATATATATGTAAATATTTCACTTATACTTATTTATGAGATACTTTATTTATATTATAATTATATTTTAATTAAATCTTATATTTTAATTATGAGAAAGAGTCAATAAATCTCTAATTATTTGTGGAATTATGAACTTATATTTTGCCACAGTTGCATATTTGGATTCATTCATGAATACTTACCTATGAATTTTGTGCATTGACAAGGAAATATATCATCCTGAAATATGAATTCATTGTCTACTTTGGTAAAACTTTGCAGTTTTGCTTAGAAGGTTTGGTTTTTCTTGTTTCTCAAACAGAATTCCACTTTTCATGTGCTAAAACCGTAAGAGACAAAAGAAAAAAATACATCGTAAATTTTATATTGTATTTTAACTAATATGTTCGATTAAAACCCAAATACACTGGAATTGCAGCACTTAGAAATTAACATCAATGCCTGTGCTATATTTGTTTTAATTTTATTTTGGGTTTTAAAATCAACATTTTAAAAGAAATTGAACAAAACTAAAAATCAGTATGTAAATTCTGTATTTGATGCATATCTCTCTCTCTCTCTCTCTCTCTCTCTCTATCTCTCTCTTACTCTTTCTCTTTAAGTGACGTAACCCTTCAATAGCTTTCTCATTATGACCATCCATAACTTCCTTTTCTTTAATAACTGTGTATTCTGATGGTAGTTCCTGGAAAAATAGTCAAATGTTTTCGATGGCATTCTCGCTCTGTTTTGAATTTGGATACCCAGACTGTATGCCAAGCAAGGCCAGAAAGCCGACCCCTATTCATCTATTTAGCCACTGCAAAGATAAATTATGGATCCGCACTGCTCGCAAGCAACTTAATCGGAAAGTGAACACAAAACATCTTAGCCAGAAATTGAACTTGACTCGCCGATTCCATTTTTCTGCTTACATCACCTGCTCGAGATGAATTTCGGTGACTGATTTTCAAATCGGACTTACAAAGACTAGCCTTGCATTTCCTTCCAACCTCAGATATTCATTCCGATCTATTTCTTGTTTGCTCTCTGGACCAGAAACAACGTTTTTTCGATATACCTTTGATAATATTCGATTTATCAATAGCCAGGAACAGGTCCCCTCCTCCCAATCAATAAACCTAGACATCATCAATTCACTTACAACGTTGGTCTGTTTTTCATGTTAACTATTATCAGTCTTAGTATTGCGTATTTTCCAAATTAAAAAGGTCAAAATATGACATCGTTTTCAGCTGAATAAATATGACATCGTTTTCAGCTGAATAAAAACGCCATGTCAAATATTTGTTGAGCACAAATGTATTTTCTATGGAGCAAGTTGATAAATCATATGCTTTCAAGTCTCGAGAATGAATTAAAATATCGTATTAAGTACGTATCTTACTCTGAGTGTTTTATATTTTCAAACTGTGCCATAAACACAGAGTATTCCTGGGTATGACGATAAACTACCTCCTGCAGCAGGGCCTCTGATCGGAAGATTGGGGCTTTCGAGGAGCGAGGAACCATCTTTTAATTGCTCCTGTTCCCACGTCCACCTTGAGCCAAGGTGGTAGTACCTGTTTGGGTCCCAGCTATAGGCAAATAGTGAACCCTCAAAAAATAAAAAAAAATAAACACCACGAAAATGAAAAAAAAAATTTTTTATAAAAAATTACCAACAATAACTATTTATAGGAAAACGACCAACAATACATTTTATAGTAAAATGAGCGACAATGATTTTATCTGTAGTTGAAGCCATGAAATTGTGTTCAATATATTTAGCCTTCGGCATTAATTAAACCATAGAATTTGAGATGCCACTAAAGAAAATCAATCAATGAACCAAACAAGCAACCAACATGAAAGAACTCTTTCAGGATAAGTTTCCTTTTTCAAGTATAATTTGACTTTTTGTTTACAACTACTCAAAAACTGCGTCTTTGCTCACATATTCAGTCCATAGTATTCTCAGTATCCTTCTGTAAAATCATATTTCTGTTGTTTGAAGTCTCTACTTCATTTGTGAGCAGATTGTCCATCATTTACTGCTGGTCTTGTATTGCAAAACAGTTGGTTCCACATTTCTTTGTTTCTAAAATGATTTTCCTCTTTCTTATGCCACTTATAAATAATTCTGACTATATAATTAATAGAATTTTCAGCTTTTAATGTAAGGCCATAGTTATACGGCGCCTGCAAGGATCGAACCCACAAAACTGATGAGGCTACCTAAAACTGGCAAATATGCTAATAAATCATCCAGTCTGGATTAAACACATTTCAACAGAATTGGCTACGCCTGCCTTGTGTGTGTTACTTTCTCCAAACTCTCTTTCCTCATTATATATCCCAAAAAATTTGTCGATTTGTTTTCTTGACTTTATCATTGTTCACTTGTTCTGCCTTCGTCAGCCTATTGGTTTAGGTCTGTCAATCTGTGAGGATTACAGACATATAACGTTGAAATGCCGGTTCGTGTACAATCACCGTATTTAAGCAACATCAGGCCTATATGTGTGGCCGCTTGGATGATGTAATATTGGATATGTAGGTGGTGTCATGGATGACGGCTCGGGATTGGAAATCAAAGAACAAAGTTCCAATTCCATTCGGGTGCGTTATATTCACTTACATGCAAATATCCTTATGAAATACATGAATCCACCTCTTCTTCCCCCCAGCTATGGGTTAAATAGTAGGACTTGCATCAGTAAAATCATT